TGCTCCCCTCTTCGGCTCTCCTCCGCGATTCCTGATCGAGTCTCGCCGAGTCTGGCCGGGTCTACCGACGTGCTGTCGGTACCAGGGCGCACCGCCTGGTACGAGCGGTGCACTGCCCCCCCCCCTCCCCCACTCCGTCACCCCTTTAGCTATGTCTGTTTCAGTCCGATACATTACTGTTCTCCGTCCCTCCTGTTGACGCTACAGCACACCTCTCTTCACGATGCACACGCCGACGGAGATGAGAAAATTCACAACTCGCGCGAGAATGCAGAGGAGGAGCGGGCTGTGTCACGATCGTCTTTTGATCGTCTAGCTGGAGGAGACAGTTTTGCAAAGAAATACTTCCAAGTGGATTTGACACAGCTATGGAGGATGAACGTAAATCTGCAGTCCAGCCAAATTGAATTGCCATACGTTAAGAGAATATTTATGCCGAGTGATCTTTGCCTCGGTAGTATATTGTGGTACAAATGAGTCTTAATGCCTTGTTGTAAATTGAGCTGATTCCATTATTAGGGAATTACCCTTATCTTTGTTTGACAACGTTTCATTCTTTGTTTAGCGATGTATCTCACGTTCGAAGATTCTGCTTTCGAAAACGAAAACGCATTCAGGAAATTTACGTAACGCTTTGCCAGGGGACGTACGTTCTGTGGAACATGTTATTTTTTTGGTTCCGCAAAGGACCGCACGTTTTTCTCGCCAAGGACACGTTCTCGGTGTTTTCGTGACCAGGAACAATGAAACACTTCCGGTTCAGGTATCATTGCGAGAAACGAAAACATTCATATCTCTTATCTCCGTTTTACGTCCTTGGATGTCCTCGAATATCGTTCGTTAAAATTGCATCCGTTTATTATTAAATTACAACATTGATACTCTCCAAGTATCTCCCAATTAGAGCGGAATTCTCCGATTGGTGGGGAGAGAATTTCATGGTTTTAAAGAGCAGTCGGAAACAAATAAATATTTGTTACAAATTGATGTTGGATATGCACGTACACACAAAAGAAGAAGAAGAAGAAGAAGAAGAAGAAGAAGAAGTGAGGAACAATCGCAGGTTCTCATCAACTGCGTCACTGACTTATTGACTTCATCAGAATTATATGCAGTTGAATAAAATTTCATTGAATTTTCACTTAATATGGTAAATTTACGCGATTATTCTAAGATCAGAGAATGTTTTTCATTG